TGAGATAAAAAGTTGTGATAGATTCTAATATGATGCCACCAAACGGAACAGCTAAAATCAATAAAATCTTCTTCCAATATATAAAAATAATGTTTGTATGTTCGTATTTTATGCACTGCCATACCGTTCATCACATTAAGTAAAGCTTTGTCAAGTTATTGCTTGCACTTGCGCGAAGGTTAGAGGCATAGTACAATTAACTTACAGTAGGTTGCTCGTGTATCTTACCGACTAATTTATTTAAAAGTCGTATATCATTAAATTTCAATGAATGTCAGTCCTAATTAAACAATATACCTCTTCCAAATTTAAAACGATATTTCCAAAATCACTTCTTCTGCGGTAGCAACGCGCCGGATATCAGCTAGTACAATATAAATTTTATTTTACAGCATAAGACGTTTACGAATAAGTAGCAAAATAAAAGTATTTTAAATTTGTATTAAGTTTACAAATTTTTCTATAAGCAATGTGCAATTATGTTAAAATTATTCCTCTTAAATGTTCTGCGACTATGAGCTCTTAAAATAAGAAATGTTTCCTGGCAAAATCACTTCAAAAAAAAGGCACTGTAAATATTTGATCTTTATACGACGTAAATTTCTCCGCTGATTAAAAATTCCGAGCCCCAAAATGATGAAAGTCTATGAGTGTCAAAACACACAAGTTTCTTCATTAAAACCTACTCGTTATAATGAAAGATAAAGATGAAAATATAAGAGCGAAGTAAAATATAAAATGCGAAACATATTATAAGTAACTTGTAACAAATAATTTAGTTGAGGAATTCTTTTATTGTGTTGACTTTCTAATCCTTTAATACATACAAACACAACGTCTAAAAGTAGGTCAAAGATTGTTTGAAAAAAAAAAGAATTTGATATTTTATATCTTAATAATTTCATTCAAATCCTACATAAACTAAAGAAATATGGTAGGTATTTGTGATCCTATACTGTGACACAGATTAAACGTTCGAGAATGTTTTTCAAAATGGCGGTCGTGATTATGTCAAATAGACATATGCGCTCCATTTCACCGCGTAACACATAGCACGGTGCATTAGCAGCCGTGTAAAAAAATAGAAATTACTTTAAGTTTATTAATAGTGTCAGCGCGATACGCCCCGTCTGTAAAATAGTAAAATAAATAGACGTGAGGCGGGGCGCCATTTGCTCGACCGCTTACCACCGGTGAAGCGGGACCGTTACTCTGGGCGTCGACGATTTGTCCTGTTACCCTATCCATTATAAGATGCTTTACATCTCACGACTATTTATACATTTAAAAGCGCGATTATAAATAATAAGGCCTTATCTTTTATAATTTTTGTTTAGTCATTTTTTTAAATATATATTATAGTACGTGAGGGTAATATGGTCACTTTCTTATAACTCAAAAATTACAGCCTTATTTGCATAGAATGCTATATGATACGATAGCTCTTCATCAGTCAATCAAATAATAAAGAGCAAAAAGGACGCAGCTTTATCGACGCCATTTTAACAGTTGATGTTATAGTAAATATTTAAGTCGATTTTAGTATGGCGTAAAGTAGTTAGTTTTTATTAAGTTGATTTTCGAAGTGTTCCTAATTATTACCAAAGCTGATTTGCTATTTTTTAATTAAAATATTAGTTATACCTAGTATACGAATTCATATTTTTGTTTCTATCCTCCTCCTAGTTTTGGTTTTATAAGGCGTCTACCTTATTTACGACCAGTAATGAACCTTTTAAGCAGTAATCCCGGCGTCACAGTTTAATACCAATCAAATGACCTTGAGATAGCTGCCCTTTAAAGTGTAAGTTGCTTTTGGTATTCGGATTTAGTACTGCGTTTCTATACGTGATTTATTTAATACATGTATCTAACCTTTAAATTGTCCTGTTAATTATACTCCAGTTTCTCCCCCATTCAATTCCAATTCTCAATAACGCAACGGTTAAAATCATTTTAAAGATTTTTTTTTTACTTTTTATCGGAGAGCAATTTTGAATTCCACTGCTATATTTTTTAAATATGCAGTATGTATATTTAAAAAATATAGCAGTGGAACATGCACAACGCGCTACCTTTGGCTGCATGGAATTGTTTAAAAAGAAACTCAAATTCATGTTGTGTTAACGGTCATCAACAATTTAAAAACAAATTTCTGCTTTACAAAGATTTAGTAGAGCCAAATTAAGATGATCATTTGTAAATTTCTATCCTTAGCACCCATATTGACTATTGCGGCATCAGACTGAAATTTCTTACCCACGTCAAATAAAGGGAAGAGATTATGGAGTGTAGAAAGAAGTAAGGAGTACTAACTCCCATAGGAAAATAATTGAAAAAGTGTCCATCTGTAAGCAGTAAATAACAGTTCAAAAACTCTTCACTACAGCGCTCGAGTAGCTACGGGGTATGTTAAATCGCCGTAAAATACGTTAAGAGTGATTTTGAAAATAAAAATTTTGAAAGCAATAAAATATTTATTCTTAAAAGAATTGTGGTGAAAGTCTGTGCAATAAAAAAATTATAAAAAGTTCTTCAAAATTAAGACTGTAGCTACAGTGGCGCCACCCTTATTTTAACGCTTTTCTACGGACACTTTTTTTGAACAGAGTCTGTACTCATTACTTCTAAACTCCGTAGAAGAGATTCTCAATTCTGTTTTCTTATTTATGCAGATGACGCAATATCTCCGTCAATAGCTGGGAAAACCCATTTTCTGATTTCTTTTTCTGAAGAGTGTACTTTCGCAGTAGTTGTACAGATTTTAAACATAAATTAATGATTTGGTGTCAGTTTTTTTGAATGAACTGATTCTTAATCATATGCTATTTTTAAGATGGTTGGAAAAATGCTACATTTTAGTTTTAATGCTAGATACCCAGTTACAGGTTCACCTTGCGGTGCTTTGTGTAGAAGTTGACGGGCCTCTGACTTGATTATTTATAAAGTATGATTTAAATATCTATAAGTAACTAATTTTTATCAGCTAGATTCTAAGAAATATGTACTTATACCTTTATTAATTGTACTTTTAAAAATATTTTTAACCTGGAAAAGCTCTTAGATCGATCGCCAATTTTTGTCTATCTCAATAAATATATATCATTAAATAGTATACCTTTACTAAAGTAAAAAAAAGGAATTTGCATCCTAGGAATACTGTAACATTACCAACAAATTCGTAATACACTATTTATTGTTTAAAAATCATGTAAAAAATCAAATTATAACCTCCATTACATTAGAAAAAATGCTTCAAAACTATGCATTTGAAGTAGTTCTAAGTTCAATAGACTAAGGTCAAAGGCAACATAACGATTCGTATGAATACGTCTGCTAAGTTCTCAATTATAGTTCTGTTCTCGGTTAAGTTCTGTCATTAATCATTATATTAAAAGTAATGAATGTGAGCAGTTTTTGTCGCCAAATAACGAAATAATAGAACTAAATTTTGTTTAAAATAATTCGCTGTTTTGCAAAAAAAAAATATTTTCTACACTTACAGACATATATACATATTTTTTTAATATATTGAAATAATTTAGTCCCCAGGCAACTTCACTCTCTTCTACCTATCCTCGAAGTATCAAAGAGGACTTGCGTCGTCACTCCGAGAACCAAGATGCGAAAGAACGTCCGTGTCTCGACACTCACCACACGAAACCCAGCAGCAATATGGTACTGTAAGTCCGTAATCTGTACTTTAATTAATATTTTATACGAATTTATACTATGTAGCCTTGATAAAAGTATGGAAGACATATTGGAAATGGACTTTTTATTTTCTTGCCAAACAAGTAGATTGACACCTTTTCAAAGTCAATTGCTGGGGAGTAGAGGTTCAAGATCTTCATACTTAAGATAATCTATTTATGTAGAAAGACTTTTTTATATTTGCTTACATCAATGCAAAACGCGAGCTATTTTCTAAGACTTAGTTCAGTGACTGATTTGGCCAATCTACGCTACGCACAAGGGCTTAACATACAAACCACTCGAGTGAATCAACATAAATGAAAATTAAAAAAAAAATAACTTTTAAGGCATTTAATATAATAGAGGTACGAACTTTTCTGTTGCTAGATGATATGTTATCTTAACTTAGATGAAAAACTTCGATTGATAGTTTGAAAAAATTAAAGATTAAAATAGATGCAAAATGGGACGTTATAAATTAAACGACCAATAAAAATTTTCAGTTTTCAAACGCATAAATTGGCTGGATACTTTTTGAATTCCTTCAAAAAGGTTTATCTCGGTCATAGGCCTTAACCGCGACCGCTTTTCCTCAAACGTATTATGTAGTCGAGTTCATCCACGTCCCAACGGGTATATGAATTTCCGGACGGATATCGGCGGTCCCTTCCGAGGGGTTCTGTCTGGCGGGCGTCTGCTGCCCGAATCCAGTACGGTATCGAGATTAATGCCTCTTGTAGTTATCTGATGTGCTTTCAAGGTCATGTTTGCAAATCCACTCGTATTTGTAATCCGAACGTCCCACTGCAATGTTTTCTTTTTAAAGCAAGTCATTGGCGTAAGTACTTGCGGATATTTACACTTTAAGGAAGCGTGTTTTATTATATTTTGACTCTTTTTCAAATCATCATTATCATTAAAGCTTATCACAAGTCCACAGCTAAACATAGGTCTCTCCTAAACAATGCCACAAAAGCATGATCCTGAGCCACCTGTATCCTTTTTGCATAGGCTTCGTAATGGGGACAAGATTTATTGTTTGGTGAAATATTTTTATCCATTACACTTAAAATTAATAAAACATTTCTTGATTGTTAAAGAAAGGAAGAAATAACTATCTATTATAACTTATTAAAATTTATGACACAAATTCTAATGAACAGTATTCAGCCACGGAAAAACAAGGCAACGATCAATGAATATTGGATTCGTTCTCGCGCTGCTGTGTGTGTCGGTTCTGTGGAAACACTATTCTATACGTTTGGTAACTACCCTCGTAAATAAAAATTCAATACGAAAAGAAAATGACTAAATGTGACATCTGTAACAAAGGGATAACCACAAAGGTACCCGGACTGGAATGCAGATCCTGTGGCAAGGTGGTTCATGCTAGTAAAGCTTGCTCTGGTCTCAACGCGAAGCAACTATCTGCGCTTCGTAATGCGGACAGACTAGACTGGACATGCGAAGAGTGCCATCAGAATACACCTAACAGAAAGTCATCCTTCATTATTCCAGAAGAAGACGATGAAGACAATGATGTCGCGGTCTCTGACAATAGCTCCGGCAATTGTATGATAGACACAGAGAAGTTTCTAAAAGATATAACAGCAGAAATGAAAAAAGTTTTAAAGAAAGAACTTCAACCAATCGAAGCATCAGTGAGCTTCTGTTGCACAAAAATTGATGATCTTTCCAAAATTGTCGAAGCTCAAAACTAAAAGGAAAAGGAATTAGAAAAGAAGTACAACTACCTTCATAACGAAAAAACCCATCTTGAGCTTGAAATGAGCTCACTGAAACAATATCTACGTAATATTGAACAACAGCGTTTAGACAATGTGATAGAAGTGATAGGTATTCCTAAAGCTAAAGATGAAAACCTTGTAAATATATCTCTCAAACTAGCTGAGACACTCAACATGGACAGGACGCAAGTAGTGAATATTACTCGTGTAGAAGGTCGAAATAACCAAGATGGAAACATCCAAGTACAGTTCAAACATGCAGAAAATGTAAGCTTATGGGTGCGAGCCTCGAAAAAGGAAGCAGTAGTGGTAGAAAAAATCATCTCCGAGGCCCCCGTGGAAGTTGCTAAGATGAAAGTGAGCAAACGACGCGCCCTGACCAAAGCCAATAAGTCGTTATTATGGCTAGCACAACAAAAACTAAGACCGGCCTACAAATACGTCTGGTTCCAAGATGGAAAGGTGCTACTGCGTAAAGACGACAAATCTAAGCCAAAGGTCGCGCGAAGCGAAGCTGACATTGAGAAGCTCTCCGCACTAACGGAAATAATCGGCCAAAGTTCCAAGCGGTAATAGATTTCAAAATTAGTAACCCAAGTCCTCTTTTCTCATCATGAAGAAATATTAAATTGTGCAGATATTAACAACTTTCGCTTGCATATACCCCCTATTTATAAAATCTATCTTAATATTGCCCACATTAACATAAGATCTTTGATAAAAAATTTTTGCTATGTAACACAATTAATTAACTCTTCTAAAATGATTATTGATATTTTAATCTTAAGCGAAGTAAACATAAATAACAATATAGTTTCTATGTTTAATATTTATGGCTATAGAATGCACAGTATGTTGCGCAAAAATAGAAAAGGCGGTGGTATAATTCTATATGTTAGAGATGTTCACTCATTCGCGCCAGTAAGTCACTCGTTAATACACAGTGAGATTATTATCGGTAAGATCACTACGCCTTACAAATACTCCGCTTACATCTGTGCTGTCTATAGACCACCAAGTGAGAGTAAGCACCTATTTGTAAAGGAAATAAGTAGCCTATTATCAAAATCTATATTTCAACTATGTGACACTTATCTCTTAGGCGACGTTAACATAGACTTAAAAACATGCGACAACATCCGAGACTACTACATTAGTAGTATGTCCGAGAGCGGTCTAACAAGCGCGATATCCGATTACACAAGAATTGAAATACGCGGTAAGGAAACAACTCGCAGTTGCATAGATCACATTTTTACTCGTACGCGCTCGTTAGATCTGTACTCGGCCGCGCTCGGAACTGTATTGGCTGACCATCGCATGATTATACTTTCGTGCGTAAGATTCGACCAAACACAAATACAGAGTGATACAAAAATAATCCAACAGATTGATAATCATAAAGTTAAAAGTTTACTTAATAATCTAGATTGGAGCGAAGTCAGAGATACAGAGTGTCCAAATAAAATTTACAATTGCATCAAAAATAAATTCAATGATTGTTACAATAATTCAAAATATATCAAAAAAAGTAATAAAATAAGTAATAGAAATAAAGACCCCTGGATAAATAGTAAAATTAATAGCATGTGTAAAAAAGAAGGACGAATTATACATTAAATGGAAAAATGATCCCACGGACAAATTACTAAGATTAGAATATAATAAATTAAGGAATAAGACACGTAAAATAATAGAAAAGTGTAAAAATAAATATTATATGGAACAAATAAATAGTAATAAAATGAATCTTAGAAATCTATGGCAAATTTTGAATACACTATCTGGTCGAAACAAAAATTCAATGGATGAGGCAATATTAAAAACATTTAATAAAAATAATATTGACGCAAAATCAATAGCTAATAACTTTGCAAAAGAATTTAGAAATTGTGTTAAAAAAATCCTGCCAAAATGTAACCAACGGCTTCTAAATGAATCAGAATATACGTTCCCCGAAAATAAATCTATGTATTTTAAAAGAGCCTCAAATGAAAGTGTGACGAAGATTGCAAGAAACCTTAAAATCAATAAAGCTCCTGGTGTGGATAATATCCGATGTATTGACATACAATCTATCTGTGATAAGATGGTAGGAGTTATTGTTAAATTAATAAATAATAGCATAGGCCAAGCAAAGTATCCAGATGAATTAAAAATAGGTATAGTGAGACCGATATATAAAAAAGGTAGTCACAGTGATTATGCCAACTATAGACCAATTACTATCCTACCAGTCATTGACAAGATAGTAGAAAAATATGTTTGTAATCAGATACAAGACTTCTACAATAAAAATGACATCCTATCAAATTCATAATACGGCTTTCAACCTAACAAATCTACCTCTAAACTGCTGTCAAAATTTACAAATGATGTAAACAAATATCTAGATGACAGAAACCACGTAATTCTGTTATTCATAGACTTCAGCAAAGCATTTGATACGCTTCGACACGATATTCTCTTAAATAAACTAGAGAATACCGGTGTACGCGGCCCAATTTTAGATTGGTTCAAAGATTACCTCAATAATCGCAAATATAAAGTTAAAATTTGTGATGAAGTCAGCGACGCTATAGATGTTACTGAAGGAACAGCTCAAGGGTCGGTGCTTGGACCCTTGCACTATTTAGCATACGTCAACGATATGGAACATATTGTCAACCATTGTTCCGTTTATCAATACGCAGATGACACGTGCCTTTTGGCGGCCAGCAAAGATCTAAAAGAAGCTGCTAAATGGCTGCAGCAGGATTTTACACAGGTATCCAAATGGTCACATGATGCGGGACTTGTCTTGAATGCAAATAAAACCAAAGTGATTCACGTTCACTCAAGCTATCTAAAACACAACACGTATTTTAAGATCATTGCTCACAGTCACAGATGTCTGCACAAATCAACTTCATCTTGCGCTTCAACTATCGCTTGTAAATGTGAGGCAATAGAACAAGTAACGCATCACACTTACTTAGGACTAATTATAGACAATAGATTTAGCTGGAGATTTCACATAGATTCTCTCTGTGAGAAGTTACGAGCTATACTGGCTAAATTCTATATCTTAAAGCCTAAAGTACCGTATAAAGTCCTGCTGAATATATATAAAGCCTTAGCTGAGTCAATTATATCATACGGAATCTCAAGTTATGGACGAACCTTTAAGTCATATACTGAAAAAAATATATAAACTACAGCTAAGATTACTTAAACTTATTGTACCCCAAAAAATAATACAACAATATAAAGAAAACGTATTAGACATTTTTAATTACTGTAATATTTTACCAATGCATATGAAACTTCACATGACCCTATTAATTGAACAATTCAACAATAAAAGCATCCAAATACCAGTATCTCATACAGTAATTACAAGAAATATTACTAAACAAAAATTAATTGTGCCTAGGATCTCAAATTACTATGGTAGGCGAACTATTGAATTTTTAATCCCAACTTTTATAAACAACATCCCGCAAAACATTCAAAAAGATTTAAACACAAAAAACTATAAACATAAACTCAAAAAATATTATTACAATAATATAAAGAACATCGTCTTATAACATCATTTAGAATCATAGTTATAATTTAGTTTGTATAATAGTGAAACAGCCTGTATAAAGTTAAGAAGACTGCGCTGCCTAATAGAACCGGTTCGTCGAATAGTCCCAGGTGAGAATTGCAAATGGGTGCTTACCACTTACAAGATAAAGAAGGCGTATTTATTTATATGTAAAGCAGTGCGTTAGTTACGAATGTGAGTACCAATACAAACCACTATTGGTTTAATGGTACAAATCAAGCAAATATGTGAGAATACTTTTGATAAATAATAAATAATAAATAAAAAATAATATGTCGTAAAATTAGTGAGCAGCTCAAAGAAATGTTGAAGAGAAATGTACTTAGGAGTTTATAGCTTCTACGAATATTAAAGTACTTATGCTACAGAAATGCTACGAGAATGTTGTGTAATACCTAAAATAAGTAAGAATGAGTATAAAATTATATTTAAGGTTATTGATCAAATTAATAATTGCTAAATGAGACGAATGAACTTTGATTTATGTGGTAAAGCCTTGCAGCAGCTATATTTATGATTGTAGCACGAATGGGTCTATGTTTCGTATGATGGGTGTATAGGACTGGAAACCAATAAAAAACTGGAAAAAAGGCATTCCGTTTTGGTCCTCAGGGGTGACACGAATCTGCATTTTGATTCTAATTCGAGGTTAAACGTAGATTTCTTTAGAATACAGCATCCACTTAACATCAGATGGACCTTGTGTTATGTGTTCATTTATTCTATATAGCAACAAATTGATTATAAAAAGAACTATTTTATTCATACAACTGTAACTTTTAATTTGTTTGTTGTTTTTTCTCGATTAAATTAATTTTGTCTAAGGATTGAAATGGATGTATACGTTAACTAATGCAGGTGGCTCAGGACTGTGCCTTGCGGCATTCCTTGATTAAAGCCTATTTTCAGCAATGGATTTGTATATACTATGATGTTAACGATGAGGAATTAAACATCAATAACTTATTAAAATCAAGTGGAAATTGAAACATAAAAAACATCTATGTCCACAAAGCAAATAATATTTTGAAGTAATATAGTTCCAAACAATTTTTATTTGTTATTATGATATTTATAAAGGTGATCTTTCTAAAACAAGATCTATATAAAGTATATATCTACGAGTGACATCTAAATGCCTTTTTAAAAGCTACCTTATAAACAATACTCCTCAGCTACATTCGAAAATCGAAATAGACGCGGAAGACACGAGCGGGGCGAAGCGGGAGACGGGACTTTCACCCTCACATCAAGGTCACACGGACATTGCAACGTTATGTAGGTGTGGCGGTGTAAATGCGTTTGTTTGCGTCGGGTGAGTTCGCTAGATTTTGGTCATGTTTACAATGTGGACTTATACGTTAAGAAATCGAGAGTAAAATATGTACTACTATGTATTTTATTAAGCGTCTACGATACTTGTAATTAATACTAAAATGGATTGAAATTCAAATCATGCAATAATTAATTTATTTTAGAGTTAAATTAAATTTCAAATAAAAGCACATTAGGAACATAAAAATTAAAAATTAGTAGTAGTACATACAATAAAACATATTTGTAATTTTTTTTGTCTTTTAACTGTGCAAAAGTATATTTGTTGTTTCATATAATAAATATTAGGCGAAATTGGAATTGAGTACGTAAGAAAAACTACATGTTAAGCCGAAAAACATTCGATTATAGACTAGACGCGCTCGCAATTTGTCGACTCGGTGTAATTTGGGCGGGAAATTGATTTTTTATGCCATTAAAGGCGGGATGGTGGGGGCAGGATAAGGGGGGAGGGTAGTCACGAAAGTTATCGGATTTTCGCGCCTCAAACCGTGAGTTCGAACGCAATCAGCACGAAGGTTAACTGCTTTCTCACTATCACTGTAACAATCAAATGGTTCACGGAGATTTTCTCTCTCAAAAATAAATTAAAATTCTAAATTATTGTTTTCTTCCAAAATTAAATTTAAGAAGTATAGGCTAAATT